GTGTGAGCTGTCTGCTTCCCAACTGCGCCTCATGAACCCTAATGTCACGCGCTCCAGCCTGCGGGCCATGGCCACCTGCCCACATATTCCTCAACGCAACAGGGCAGATCAAATACAGCTGCTCATCCAGACTTTTAAGTAGGACGTTCTCCCTGTGGGCACTGGAGTTACTACAGAGAAACAGACAGGAAGTGTGATGCATCTTTTTAATCTTCTTCAGGGATCCATCTGATTGGTCCGCAGAGACTATGGAAGTACTGGGTCCTCTCCTACTTTTGGACGACAATGCCACATCTGCTCTGCCCAATAAGGTTTTCAATCTTTTTTGGTCTCCTGTGTTATCATATTCCACATTTTCATCAATAAACCAACAGTCACTCAAAATGAAGAGGGGAGTTTCTGCTCTATGTCTTTATTCATGCATGTATTCTTCATGGTAATGCCCCCCCCCCCCACTTTCTCTCCGTCTCTTTTAGCCCTGGATGAAGGACGTTCTCTATTTCCTGAAGTCACGTCTCTCCTACATCTCAGATGCCCTGAAAAAGAAATTATTTTATCTCACCATCACCCCTCCATCAAATGCTGAACGTAGAAAGAGAGCAGGTGAGGAAGAGACATCTTGTGTGAGCTGTTAATTTTTCCATTCATGATTCTGTTCTGTACCTTCTATTTCTGACATGTTCTGTTTCTCTCAGCTGACGCAGACGCACCCACAATAACGTTTATTGAAGAGTTGGGTGCGGACAATGTCTTTTGGACGCCTGAACAGATGGACAAGATGTCCACGGAAATATTCATCTCTACAGTAGAAATACTTGGTCGCATCACTGACTACAGTGCAGACCAATTGAAAATGCTCCAAAAAAAAGCAACTGAGGTAAAAGATTTAAAATGACCCTCAATATCTACTATTATCTTAATGAATGTAATGGTTCAACTTATCTGATCACAAAAATCACAGGAAGAAGATAAAGATGGATGACATGACATCTTATATAATATAATTATAAAATGAACATGCCACGATAAGAACGTACACAAATAACTTATAGTGATGTACTATTTAAAAGCTCAAATGTAAATAAAACAAAAACAACAAACAATAAAAATTTCTCATCCAACATTTGGCAAACATAGAAAAGTGTATCCCAAACATTCTCTCCACTTTATTTTTTGACCAAGAGCTAGAAAGTAAAGTTATTGACATTGTCTCACTGAACTGGGTGCAGAGAGTCTTTTGAAACTAATGTTTCTGAATGTTTGAATGTGTATTTTTGTGTGTCTGCAGGTCTTTGGCCAGGTGTCTCAGATAACTGAGAGTGTGGTGATGCAGATGGGATGTATAACCCGGGGCTTCTCGAACACAGACCTGAAGACACTCCCCCTCTCTCTGGATGCTATGGAGGACATCGCTGACTGTAGCTGGATGGAGTCACAGGTGAACTACAGAAGCAGCTTCACATGCTGTTACACTGATGACGCTCGTGAAGTTGCCTAATCATGAGGACCTCTCTCAATAGATGCAGTCAGTGTGGATGGGTGTTGCTAAATATAACAACCTGACGGCACAGGGGCTGGGAGCTGCAGAGATGGTCATGCTGAACCAGTTCATCTGTGGCCTCAACCAGAGCGAGATCAGACAGCTCAACAAGGAAGCCTTCAAGTTTGTGCAACATACACATTTATTTAAATCACAGTCCTCCTGCTTTTCATATTCTAAAATTAGTTTAACCAAATTCATTCAGTCATGCCAACTGACAAAACCACTACTGATAGATTGTTCATAATTCCACCAAATATTCCAGTTTAAATACAAAGCACAGCAGGTATGAAAAAAACAGTGTAAAATGGTGTCTTCAGCTCATCCAGTGTAACTTCACTTAAAGCAATATAATGCAACATGTCTACTTTAAAATAGCAGCTTCAAAATGAGTTTGATGTTGGCTAACATGGATTTAGAAGAATGGTGCAGTTTTCATTCCCACTCCTCACCTTCACAGGCTTTGTTAGAAATATCTCAGACTAGGAGCCCAACAGAATTATTCACCACGTTAGGCTGCAGAGGGCGCTGTCAGTAGAAGCTACATAGTGTTGCTTTAACATCAACTATCAATGCAAGATTGTTGTTGCCTCTCCTACATATTTTTAATCTCTAGTCTCAGTGTTTTATTCTTAGCAGTACTAACCAATACTAAAAAGTTCTGTAACAAATATACTTTTACCATCAAAAGTGAGAGAGTTATCTCAAACTCATGTGTGTCACAGGGACGCCGTCGGCTCGATGGGGGATATTCGGTGCCCTTATCAGGTGGCACAGCACTTGAAAAGTCTCGCTGTGTCAGCGTTCGGGGACCCGAGCATCTGGACTGAAGCACATGTGTCCGACTTGGGCAACATCATTGGTGAGGTCACTTCTTGTGTTTCTGTGTTTTCTCTGCAGGAAACCAAGCTCCACTGTGATATTCCTCTAAACTACGTCAGTACTATACTTACTGACCCTGTCGTTTCTCTCTCCCTCAGCTGGGTTGGACAGAACTGAGTTGGCTTCTTTGAAAGAATCTGTTTGTCCATTTCTCAGCAAAACTGCCATCCCGCTCATACCAGCTGACAACTTTGCTGTAAGTAACTTTTTTACGACCTTTGTTCTGTTTGTCCATCAACTTTCAGCTGAAAGACAAATTCAGCAGTGGGTTAAAGTGTTTTTAAATAAAGTACTGTACTAATTTACAATTTTTAAAGCAAGTTGACTTCTTTAACGAATTTTTACCTTTTTCAGAATGCATGCAACCTGCCATTAAAAACCTTTTTATTATCTTGTCTTACCAATACTTTATGCTGCTCATT